AAAGTTTGGTGATCATCCATCCATTAGTTCTGTAGTAGAAGATGTTTAAAGGTTTTTCTATTTTTAGCTCTGCTGAACCCTAAAAGGGGCCAATTGAAATGACATGAGCAAATTTAAGTGTGACTATCACAAGGATGCTACAGACCAAATTTTAGTTAAATCTGCCCAGCAGTTTCAGAGAAGAAGATGATTGTTGACGCATGACGACGGACGACGGACGACGGAGTATCCCCCTTTAATACTAATAGCTCACCCTGAGCCTTCGGCTCTGGTGAGCTAAAAAAAAAGACAATTTAAGTTCTTAATTGCAAATATAGAAACTTAGGAATGTAATGTTCAAAGACATTTTACACGTGAAAAGATTCACTCCGAGAGAGACATAGATCCGACATGAGAACACATTCGTCAAAATATGTCGTCCCTTCGTGTTTTCGCATTTTCGCATTTTGAGGCGAAGACGCGAAAATATTGGGATGGCGTTAATCAGCCACCATACATAATCCATTCAAGGCGAATTTCTCAAGCATGTCGAAAGGATGTCCGGAAATGTGTTAATATAAAACGCTGATATTTCGTGTGTTGATAAAAATACTGTTTAGATTCTATATGGTTTTGAAAAAAAACTGTTTCTATGTAACTTTTCACGGAAATGGGCTGTACAATGATTACGTAAAAACAATAAAATGTCGGCTGTAGAAATCGAAAGGCATTTTGTCACGTGACTTTTGCCCATGCTACCGAAAACTACCCATCACAATATCACGGCGTTGAGACGCCGTGAAATAAAATGGAACTACTAGGATTTGAATCTGCACCTGAATGTTTGAAAGACCAGTGCGATACCACTACACTATGTAACGTCACACTGCAAAGACCATGGTCAATATGTAATAATATACTATCCATACACATGCACGCCTTAAGTACGTGCACCGATCCATGGTTCAGAAATAAACTTCACCAGTAGCATTGCTTTATTGACATTTACAAAACTGATTAATCATGCCCCTTGGTTCAATAATGGCCCAACCGAAACGGTTATTTATACAACTCAAAATTTGCTAAGGATCACCTTTTTGACATTGCATATTTCAGTCCTATTATCATCATATTAAAATCATATATTTCCACTAATGATACACCTGTACAGGGACCTCATAATCGTGTACTTAAGTTATCGATCTGTCATGTACACCTTGCACGATAAGCACGTGGAAAAGCATACCCATGGAAATTTGGTGTTTTATGGCCATGTGCTTTCACTTAAACATGTACAAGCAGCAAGACTTCTCTCGTTTTATTATGTCAAATCGACAGGTTAGACGTGGTCTTAGTGAAGATGGGATGAGATGAACAGGGATATTGGAATCTTGGAGGCTGGCCGTTCACAAAGGCACTTGCCATGTCCTTTGGGTATCCCAGAACATTGTCTACAGGATGTGGAACCGATTCCAAATGACTGGAAATGTCTTGCAGGGCCACGCCGGAGGTATGGAACGTTCAACGACTCAAGCCAAGGACAGATTTATTGTCCTTCAGGCCAGGTGCCAACGGTTCTCGAACGCTGCGACCTTATGTAACGACTTCCAGAATGCAACTGGTGTGTGTGTAAGCACACAAACTGTTAGAAACGGGTTACATGATGTGTAACGACTTCCAGAATGCAACTGCCATGGTGTGTGTGTAAGCACACAAACTGTTAGAAACAGGTTGCATGATGTGTAACGACTTCCAGAATGCAACTGGTGTGCGTGTAAACACACAAACTGTTAGAAACAGGTTGCATGATGATGCTGGGTTGAGGTCATGGAGGCCAGCAATTTGCATTACTTTGACACAACGCCATATTCAAGAACGTTTGCACTGGGCGCAGTTATGTCACATGGACAGTTAATGATTGGACACCGGTCCTCTTCACTGATGAGTCAAGGTTTTATATGGACTTCACAGACAAACGGGCTAGGGATTGGAGAAGTCCAATGAACGCTTAGCTCCAGCATGCGTTGCAGAACATGACCATTTTTGCGGGGTATCATTCATGGTGTGAGCGTGAATAAGCACTCCGGACTTACACATCATTGAAAACGGTACATGTACCCGCGTACGCTGGCGCAGTCTGTCTCGATTTCATTCTTTAGGATGACAACGCCCGTGCACATAGAGCCCACATCACAAACCGATACCTTGAGGCAATTATATAGTCCGCATGGATTGGCCAGCGAGATCCCCGGATTTAAATCCAATTGAGCATGCTTGGGATATGCTGCAGAAAGCCATTTCTTCACGCCACGTTCAACCAACAACAGTCCAGGAGCTTAGACTTGCAATCATAGAAGAATGGGCACAGAATCCTCATCACAATGTCCAGTCCGTAATTAATGCCCGCGGACACCATACTCGGTATTTATCACCCTACACGAACCATTTGTAGAAAAAGTGATCCTTAGCAAATTTTGAGTAGTATATATAGACTTGTATAGGAAAAACACACCCGAGGCTTGTGTGAAACTAGATATTTGGCATGTAAAATCACTTTGTGGAGGTATTTATCATGTCCCTTGGTTGAATACTGGCCCTGTCACTTAGTCAACATATTTTTGTGTAGGAAAACACATTTAAGTCATATTTTGATGAAACTACAATGCCAAGAGCAAAGATATTTAGCATGTTACTTTACCTTGTGAATGTCTGCAAAATTGATATAAACTGTGCCACAGCTTATATACATATTTGGCATGTAGCATTAATTTGTAGATCCTTACAGAAGTGTTTTTGAACCGATGTCAAAATTGTCCAGTTGCCTTATGCAGAAAACACCTTTTTGTGGCTAAATACTGTGCCTATATTTGGCTAATATACTTGTATAAAAGTTTTATGAATCGTATAGTTAGGAAAAAAAAATGCCAACACCTTCATGTAGTATCTTAAACACAACACATTTTTCAGACTGGGTCTCTACACTAATTGGAAGATTACTTGCTATATACACGTAGTTTTTAAAATGATTAAAACTTTTGACAGTATCCTTCTGATACAGAGTTCAACATAAGAGCTGCTTGACTATTTCTTCAGTCAAATACATCTGGAGGAAGAATAGAATACATCTTACAAGGATTATAGTGCCATCTATAAATACCTTAAATTTACACCTCTTGTGAATTACTAAATGTACAATTTACAAATATTAATTCATTTCTGAGATACATGTACTTTAATTTACATAATTTGAGTGTAATTGCCAAAAACTTTAAAATGCATAATTATTTAAGTTTATTTAAAGAGAAATCTGGAAATCTACAGCATTTCAAAAATTATTCAGTGTTACCATTGTCTTATTATATTCGTATGCAGCTTTAGCATGCTGAATAACAGCCTGGCGTGTTCTAAATAAGCATTTGACAAAGTCAAAAATTAATATTTGCACATAATTATAGTTATTTGTTTCAAGATCAACATGAATTTATACTTTGCATATCAACCAAAATGTATTTTTAAGGAGTGTAAAGGTATTTATGGATGGCACTGTATACTAATATACTATTTAATATGATTCTCATAGGGCAGACACAATACATTATGAATGTATGTGTACAGCAACATACAACATATATCAAACTTTGGAGTCAACAATATTCCCATTTTAAAATACTGTTTTATTTTCAGCTTGTTGAAGTGGTCCAATTGTAGCAATACATTAAAGTTCTGCTCATAATCCAATCCAGACCAATATTAAGTTGCAAGTGTATGATTGTGGACTATGGTATTAGGTACAGTACATTCATTCTATATACTCTACAAACTTAATTCTTTCCATCGCAAAGGTTGCTTTCCAGGGGTCTTCCCACCCATTTTTTAAATCCCGTCGTTTTAAATGTTCCTCCACTTTGCAAAATACTTAATTTTTCTTTTCAAAAATAGGAAGGATACATCTCCTTTCTTTTGAAAAAAGCCCTGCATTTTATATATAAAAATAAATCCCATTTTGTATATGGCTATGAGTAATACATGTATAAAGAACCTCACTTTTTAACAGTCTTAAAACCAATTTCAAGGTATAGATCTGGATGAAAGGGTAAACTAGCTCATTTCAAGACTAATCAGTCTAGGATTATTAGTAGATACCATCTTCAGATCATTTTCACTTCATCAAAGTAGACTAAATAGATGTACTACCATGACCATTTCATGTGCAGTCCTTTCCAGACAACTGGATTTAATTGCATTACTACCAAGTTACCAGTTATTTTGCAATGTTAATACAACCCTTTCTACACCAACAGGGTGATCTCCATTCAATCGACTTTTCTAATTTATAAGACTCATCCCTTGCTTTTCTGATTAATTTGGTTTGCTCATTCAGACTATTGGAGCTAAAAATGTTGTAAATAGAATTCTAACATGCTTTACACCATTCTCCTTGCAATTAAGTGCATTTACACAATATATGCAGAGCATAAAAATGGAATGCTTACACTACATACGACGTCAATATAATATAAATGATGTCAGGAAAATTACTTCTACACTTTATAAGTTCCACATATTTTTATCTCTTTTTTTATATGTTGGAATGGAAATAGATATCATACTTTCTTGCATTATATATAACAATGCATGGCTTATTGTTCAAATGCTTTGTAATTAATAGGCCTTTGTAATTATATTCCTACGCACTTGAACTTGGGTCATGTTCCCAAAATCATGAAAAAAATCCCTGACCATGCATTATTCTACAATGCACTAAAAATTCAAACTATTATCCCAAATAACTTCTTAACAAAATTTACATTTATTCTGGAGAAAAATGCATGGTCATTACAGCTCTTATCAATTTATCTAGTTGCCAAACCAGTTTCTATCTATAAACTTAAAAATCCCAGTAAAAAAATCAATCAAGGTGCCAAGGAAGATATGTTGAGGACAAACAAAACACCATATATATAAATTAGTTTGGTAATTGAGGTTGTTAGAAGGGTTTATATCTATAATATACGCAAATATTCATCTGCCACAGGCCATTAGCCCAGATTAAATTTTTATTATGATGAATTCATACAAGGATTCAAGACGAACTTTTGCCATTATTTCACAAAAAGTTGCTTGAAGGATATTTGCGCCACACACAGCAGCCCCTAATGAAGTCAATCAAAACTAGCTTGGTCCTGCAGTATACCACAGACATAACGTTTCAGAGATGTTAAATTTGATGTTCTCTGTATCCAGCTATAAGCTTACCCTCAATTTTGTAACAAGGCAAGCTTTAAGGGGAAATATAGAAACAGTCATTTGGAAGCCATTTAAGTGACATTCATTGCAATTGTAGCAACCTAGTTCAATTTAGTCAATTATTATAAAGCAAAACAGAAGCTTTTAAATATAATAGTTAAATTTCAGTTCAGTATTCTGTGGCATTTAACACTTTTATTAAAATGTAACAATATAAATATTCATTTTGTTATAGATGGTCTGGCAAATTATATTGGAGCTTCCTTGTATGTAAAGACTGTTTTGAGAATTGGTATAAAAAACAATTGCACTTAAAACATCTACGATATGATCATCTCAAATGGACAGATCAGGAAACTGCTGCATGTACTGTTCTGCCAAAGACTGTGCTACACACAAGTATGAATACAGCAGAACGTTCTCACAAACTGGACAGCAATACAGGAATAACAGCTAACTGCAGCACATTCAGCTTAACTGGACACCAAAACAGGCAAACTTCGTACTGCAGCATGTTCCAACTAACTGGACAGCAACGAACTGCCTTTAATGTACTGCGATACTGCATCGAACAGCATGGGCTGCTACTCAAACACGCTACCCCCTGCCTGCAGTCCAGCTTTCTATTACTGCTCCTAGCAGATTAGAAAGAATACAATAGGTTATTATACAACTTCAAATATCACATATTAACATTTATTCTACAAAAGGGCAACGAATATGAACAAATTAAAAAGAACAGACAAGTTTAAAATACTAACAAGTCAAAAATGTACAAAATGATCAGTATGCATCATGTGATTTTCATTCTTGGCAAATTAACAAAATGCTTTATGGATCTGTTTATCCAGTTTAAAGAATATGCTTTTTGAAATACAAAAAATATAAAATCTGACTAATTACTAGTATTACTAATGAGAAACTAATGATAGAAACAGATAAATGAAGTCTCTCAAGCGATATTATCTTAAAATTTCACATATTAAACAGTCATTTATGGTCAAAACTTAAAATCCACTCTCAGAGGAGTGATCTTTTTGACCAATATGATAATAACCTTTTATTAAACTGTAGCCAAAACGCACTCGTTTGCAGGCACCATCTAGTTTACTGGATGATAATCCTATATCAAAATACTGGTTCAGTCTGCATTATCTTGAGAATTTTTTTCCGGTGTTCTTGAATGCGACCTTGGAGATCTGCTTGACCTATTTGACTTTGACCTGCTTCTAGAACGACTTCTACTCCGACTGCGAGATTTGCTGTCATATGACCTGCTCCTACTCCTAGAATATCTACGACTTCTTCGACCTCTAGATCTTGACCGTGAACGAGACCTAGAATATGACCTGAAACATACACAAATATCAATTATAACTTTGCATACAAACCTTATAATAACACTGACACAGAGACATCATTGCATTATCTTCTTTAGTACTTTAATATCAAGTTAAGAAAAACATTAAGTGCCAATCCTGACCAAAGCAATACTTAAGCATCAAATAAAATTTCATTGACTAAATAACATGTTGCCTACAGGAATGCAGTAAGTAAAATTCCCATGGGCGACTTAGCTCCTTTTAGACTCAACTAATTATCATAGTGTTCTTTGCCACAAGCGGCATTTGATCCGAGTTTGCGTACCAGTCTAAATTGCGTGGAAATAGCCAATGCTAAAGCTGCAGGTCTCCAGATGAGCCAAATTGTGTAGAAAAATACAAAATTAATGTTTTATACAGACATTTTTTTTTCACAAACAATAATTTGGAAACTGAAGGCAGCCGAGATATTGAGCTTCATACACTTCTATGAAATATGCTGCAAAATTACAACAGAATTAACACATACTTGTCCAATTTCTTACCTTCCCCTGTACCTTCCACCACCACCACCACCACCGCCATATCTCCTTGGCGGACCCCTTCTGTATGGTTCAGAGGGCCTGCCATATCGTGCCATCTGTACTCGTAGTTCTCTGCCATCCATGATTGTACCATCCATAGCATCTAAAGCATCCTCTGCATCCCGCTTATCAAAGTATCGAACAAAAGCAAACCCTCTACTTTCTCGTGTAAATCTGTCTCTGGGAATGTATACATCTCCAACTTCACCTGTAAAAAATTCCAACATTTGCCTAAAACGCACTAAAAAGCATCAAAGCCGAGTAAATTCTTGCACGACAATATGAACAATTTAAAGCAATCAACAATAATCTTTCTTACAAAGTCATTTTAAAGATGTGATCTTTTCTGGAAAACAGAACTCAATTTATATTGTAATTCTCTTTATTCAGGGCATGCACTATCACCAGTGAGTGCAGTGACCCATATAAAAAATATTCCCAATAGCTGCCAAAAAATATAACATTTTCAACTTTCAAAATTTGAACAGATTCAACTTGTTTCGAGTCATACATGACTCACTGTCACAGACTGCTTAAACTATTGGTTAGCAGTACTCCTCTGATTTGTTTCCCTATATATTTTAAACTACCCATATCATGTGCATCCCTGGTCACAGATCCAATATCATGTAGTGCTAAAATATCCTGAACTAAAGAAATATGCAGATTATCCATTGCAATTCAACATTTTAGTGCAATTTTTCAATTTCTTTTGATTTTAATATTTATTTGTAGTCTAAGAATTATGAAATATTGATACAAAGGCAGATTTTCTGCGTTTTGTTAAACGCATCCCAGAGTAATTTGGTATGTCTTGGCAGGGCCTTTTTACCCTTCTTTGCTGTAGCCGGTATCCGGCTACTTCCCCAAGCTGAATTACTACCTTTTTTCCCAAATAAAACAGACCAAAATTCCCCTTCTTGCAAAGATTTCCCCTTTCAAAGAAAACATAAATCGACGGATTAAACTTGTAAACAAAAAATAGATTATGGTTTTCGTCCAATGAATGCTAATGATTCAATTACCCAATAGGGGGATACCTGATTTAATACAATTGATGTTAACTCGCAGCCTCGGTCTGATATTTTTCAAAAACCCTGCTACTCATTAGTAAACACATGATTTTTTTACGACAATACGCGATTACGATGTCGCTAATGTAAACAATCACAGAAGTTCATAAAAGAACAAAATACGATTGAGTGACATTTGTTATTGTTAATTAAAAATTGGAAGAATTAATTTGATGACCCTTCTGTAAGTGCAGGAGTACCTAATGCATGTTTCCGCTCGCAAGCCCTTGTCTGAGTAGCACAACATGCCAAAGTGTCAGAAAAAGAGAGCCGAGTGAAACATAATTACAAAGTGTCAGTAATAGTGATACAGCGGGAACTGATAATTTGTACCCACTGAGTCAAAGCAAGAAACCTCACATGACCTACGTAAAACTAGGAAATATGAGTCATGGTAGTCCTGGCATAACACACAGTGGCAATAAATTGATATGGAAAAAATGCCTTTAACTTAATTTGGACAGAAATCTAGGGACTAATCTAAACTTAAAATATGTTTGAAGGAAAATAAACAAAGAGATGATGATTTTTTCTACAAATTGTGAAAATAAGATATTTTCCCCAAACATGTGAAAATCGCACATTTTTCTCCACAAAAAGGGCTAGGGCGCCTTCCCCAAAACTAGTGAAAAAGCCCTGCTTGGAAGCACAACCTTCTCTAAAAATCTTGACAAAAGCAATTATCTCAATAGCTAGTTTCCCTCCAATCAATACATCGATCAACACTTTCAGAACTAGCAGACGACAGGCCATTCATATCAGTAGAATTTCGAGTAAAGATAACGGATTGCGTATCTCACTGTATAAATCGTATGTAAAATGGTCTGACATATGGTAGGTTTAACAGTTAATTAAAATACTTTGAATTTCAAAGATGTGTTGAATTTTATACTGTGACGAAGCCAAGACTCAAAGCTTTCTTTTGGTGTAATACATTTTAAAACTGGACATTTAATCACAACAAACTAGCGGTTTAAAAACAGCTTATTTTGTATTGTTTTAGCATAAGCGATATCGATTTTACTCGAAGATAAGGGAAGCAACTCGTATTTTTTCACTCGATATACCTCGGTTATTTACGTAGATCATATTGAAAGTGTTTATGGGTGTATTATCTGATCTAATCTTATTAACTTAACTGACCTAATATTAATATAGAACTACGGTAAGCAATTCAGCCTATTCCGACAAATTGCCCAAAGTTACCGGTCATCAACCGGACACTTTTTGAACATTTTTCTATACAAATTTCATAATTTTAAAGCTAGAGGTACAAAAATTTGACACAGTAAAGCTAGGTTCTTCTCCTAACTTACAAACTAGTTTGTTTAGTTCTGATTATGTTGACGCTTGTATCTGAGGCCCATCAAGGAGGGTATCAAAATTACCTAAATTGTACAAAACAGACATGTAATAACATTGATTTAATTCAGATAAACGCTTTGGTGTTCTTTTTTTTAATTTTTAACATGACATACAATATTTCAGCAGCAAATGCTAAAGTATTGAATATTCTATTGTTTACTCTGCAAATGATTATTGCTGTTATATGATGTCAGGCATTGCTTTCTTGACCCCCAAATTTCAACGTCAACATTCTTGAAATAGACATTAAAATATTACCATTTACGGAGGTTGAAATAAATAAATTTACTTAATTTTAGAAGAAACATGCATTTAATGTTGATAAAAAAGTGACTGAAAACCACTGAACAAAGAAAATTCTAAATCAAGCATTTTCGGGGCCGTCCGGGTTTGGTGGTTGTCCGGTTTTGGTGGTCCCCAACCAGTACCGAATGAAATAAAAAACAAGTTTCAGTGTTGTAATTAGTTATTTTAAAAATTTAAAATAATTCGAAAATAGTAGAAGTGGCATTAAAATTCAAAAGCGTAGGTTATTTCAGGGGTTTTTTTTAGGAAAAGGGGAAGACGCTGGACGCTGGTAGGGAGGGGAAAAAATATACGAAAAAAGTCAATTTGGGGAAACTTTATTATGACGTTATTTATACTATATACTTAACTACATGTATAGTAGAGAGTTACAACTATATCTTTTTCCCCTTAAAAACTTTATCATCATGCAAAATATTCTTTGCAGTATAACATATTTTCTTAATATGTATGGTGGTGAATGGTTTTTATACTTCTATTTTTGTATGAAATTTAATACAGTATAGGTATAATAGTGTATCTGTGACACACTTTAGCTCCATACAAGTCATTTTCATAATAAGAAGTACAAAATATATTACTTTACTAAAAATAACCAAGAAAATGACAATATTTTGATAGCAACTGATTTCCAGAAATAGTACCGTTCAGTACGGGATATAGCCAAGAAAAAAAAATGGCTGCCTCCATGTTGAGACAGTACTTGCAGTTTCCTGCAATGTTTTTGGTTATTTTGAACAACAATTGGTGGTTTATCCTGCATAAAATGAAGAAAAATAATATTTTAAACCATGTAATTATTAAATCTGATCCAGTTTAAAGGAAAAATAGAATTTTTTGGGGGAAAAAACTTGGCTATTTACCGAGGGGAAGACGCCGACTATCGGTGTCAATTTGTTAGTAAAAAAAAACCCTGTATTTACATGAATAAGTTTACATATTAATTATTTGTTTGTTCATTTCAATTTACGCCTTTTCCTAATAGTATTTCAGTCATATAGGCGGGTAGTTTCCTAACCATCGTTCCTGGAGTTACACCAGTACTAGACTATCTTCCTCCGTGCTAAACTACCAAAGCATCTCCCGGGGATTGTACCCACGCCAGAGAGGTAACTGGATTAGAAGTCATAGACTCTTACCCTTTGACCACGGAGGACATACTAATTGATTTACTGTAACAGTATAATGATAATGGTTAGATTCAGAACAATTTGATGACCCAAAATTTCACATTTACTTAAAATTTCAAAATCATACAAAGATGAAACTCACTCCAGTGCCTTTGTAAATATAGACAATCAATAAATTACTTGTTTTTATGTAAAAATAAACAAGGCAAATTCCACAAATTTATTATGAAGATCTGTAAAATTAATTTATGGATTGAAAAATCTTTAAATTTCTAGACTACCTATAAATTTAAATATCACGAAATCCTAGACCTGACGGCTGCTCATTCTTTGTTTAGTGAGAAAAAGAGCTCTAATAGTTTAATTGAAGCCGCCTTATTAACAGATTAAAACGTGGGTTCCTTACTGGACAAAGAATTTACAACTGTACCGTATTTTTGGAAAGCTCTCCGTAAATCTTCGGGTGTGGTTCTGTAAGTAAGATTGTCAACTTTCAAAGATACCATACTATCGGTATCCGGTGGTGGGCGACCGTAGCTCATCTTTAACTTTTGATGCAATATTCGTTTCTTAATCGTTTTCCTACCACGCCGTAACGCTTCCCTGAATCAGAATGGTGTCAAGTTTAAAGTGTTAACAAAGAAAAAGAGAGGGAGAAATATTTAAACCAGTCTAATATTGAGTCACGTGGTATCTGTTCTACACGGCCTATTTGAATTAGAATTCCGTTTTATTGAATTGGACGAATTGTGATCCATTTGCCCATAAATTTTCAGAATTGTATTTGAAAGACCCTGGCCACGCCAATCAAACTTGTTCCATAAGGCAAACTGGGTTATTTTAGACAGTACATATATAGAGACATCCCCTCTATGTTCACTCATTTCAATTCAAAGTCCATTGAAGGGCTTTGAACAGAGTTTTAAAGGCTCACCAATGAAGGAAATGAACTTTTCATCCCTTCAAAGAGATTGGGTTCTCATTCATCTCTTTTCTGGATCATCCAACAGAACAAACAACAGAACAAAAATCTCAGAAACAAGGTTAGCAGTGAAATTAATCATGCTCACAATAGCTGATTGTATAAATAGTCATTTTAGTCAAGTACATTTATACAGTACAACAATAAATAGAACTTTTATGCTTAATTAGTAATTATAGTTATTTATTAACATCATTATTCTTTGTCAATGTGCATCTCAAAAGATATTGTGGGTTAGCTATTTGTTGAGTTTTTTTACAAATTCTATTTCTTTTATGTGTTGTCATTTAAAATGCCTTTGTTGAATGCATATAGTTAGTAGTCCTTTTTTAAGTGTGTTATCAAATCAGAATTAGTTTATGTTATCTTATTATTGTTTTGTTTATGTACATTTACATTTAATGTACTGATATTTTATGTAATTGTATGCCTGAGAAGGCCCATGATTGGTAATAAAACATTATTCTATTCTATTCTATTTTTATACTATTATGTTCTTGAAATCCAATCGGATGACCGAGTTAACTCCCAATCAAGTCAAATTTTTCTCATAAAAAGCCCTTTTCAGTCATAAAAAATGCTAAGCTAGGTATTTTCATCCCAATTAATCTTTAAGTGAGCCAACTTTGCTTGATGAATTCAACAACACCTGCCTAGAAAACCTCAAAATGATCAAAATCACAATTTGTGTAAGTGTCAACATGCAAAAATCTTTATTTTAAGTCGGTTTACATATTACAAGAAACATTAGGAAATAAGCTATCTACTGACAATAACAGAGACATAAAACGTGTTTACTAATATATAACAGATCTGAAAAGTAAAAACATTTAAAACTATAGTAGCAACTTTAGGCATGAAATAAAAGTAGCAAGAATAAGAAGAACTATATACAATAAGATGAAGTAAGATGCCATGCACAGTACATATTGTATTAAAGGTACTAACAGTTTTAAACATAATAAATGACTGTAGCATAAAATGAGCTGACAATTTAAGTATGATACATGTAGCAACGTGAAATAAATAAAAAAAAAAAAAAAATAGATGAATTAATTAAAATGGTAATAGTTAACATCTAGAGTTTATACATAATTAAAGATTTACTAAAAATAAAGAAAATATATAAATAGATAAAGAAATTGCCTTATTTAAAAAATAGTACATAAAAATTTATGATATAACTAAAATAGCATGAAAAAAATAGAAACAAGATAAAACACATAAAGGGTAACAACAAAGTTAATAAATTAAGTTGCATGCACAGCCTAATGGAAGGGAAAAATAAAGAGTTTTAATTAGAACAAAACATACAAATGAGACAGCAAGGATACAACTAGCATAAAATACAGGGTTTAAAGGAAAATTAAACACAGCATATAATCAAATCATCATAGCAAACTGAAAAGGGATGCACAAAAACAAAGCAAACAAACAAACATGCAGTCTAAGGATTTTACATAAATTAAAACTAAGCAAATTAACAGACACATAACAAATTTACATATACATAGCACATTTACAACTTGGGCCAAAAGTGACGTCCAAAAGCTGTTGACTACTTTACATACTGATAAAGCTTGCAACACTGACAATTTAAAACAAATAGCATTGAAAAGTACAGATTGCTTCCCTGGTCACCAGGGTCTTTCAAATATATTCTATCTGAAAGACCCTGTGGTCACAAAAGTTTTTTTTAAATCTTAAGATACAACCACATCGCCTGAACCAAGGCGAACCATTTTCAAGAAAGGCAATTAAAGTAACCCGACAAAGCCTACTTCCTTGACATATGTTCTTTGTAAAGTTATGGAACACATTGTCGCATCAAACATGACACAGCGCTTTCAGGTCAACAATATTTTATTTGACCTTCAACATATATTCAGGTCTTGTGAAAAGCAACATTAAAATGTATAGAAATTGTAATATACCTAGAGGGGCTTGGCCATTTCTATTAATGCTTATACCACACGAATTGTCCTTAAAACTAATAGTCTTGTATAGCTCTTATATTTAATATCTATTATTAACACCACATAGATAGAATAGATAGAACTCTGGAAACAAAGTGCTAGGGGGCGTGAGGGATGTTGCACTTTATCATTATCCCTCATGTACAGACTCATTCAAACCGAGTCTGCAATTTTCATGTAATTTTGTTGTAATTAATGCTTCCGAGGGATCACTTTGTTTCCAGATTTCTATAATGAACTGAATGTTTTGAAAAGTATTGGTAATTAAACAGCAAACTAAAAATTTACTTGTTACTCTTCTGTTATAAATTATGCCAAACTTAAATTATTATCCTTTGATTTGGCATTTAACCAATAAAACAAACACAACAAAATTACGGGAAATTTTTTTTAAATTTAGTTTGTATATACTGGTATGAGCTATGAGCAATTCGGTCTTATTTCATTAAAAGACAGAAAGTTGAGAGCATTGCCCAAAAACATATAGAATTTCAAATAAAATGCATCCAGATTATTTAAATGTAACTTCTTGTAGCAGGTTTGATGTTTCTTAGCTTTATGTTTTATACATTTTTTTTCTATTTTCTTAGCATTACACTTAACAACTTTTCTAAAACTGCAAGTAGCATTTTCGCAATAGTTTAAAAACTACCGAAAGGAACAGAATAATATTTTCAGGACACATATTATTATTAGATTAATACAGATGCCATTGTTTGAAATAACAATAAGCTAAAGATAATAGATTTTATTAATTATTCAACAAACCTCCAATTTTTAAAGTCGCAAATTTATCCAACTTTCCAATACTTACCATTATTTACTGCATTCTTGCATTTATAATAAATTAAATTTCGCTTTTTCTAATCGCTGTTAATATATTCTAATGTGGTTTTATATTTATCCCTCCCCTAAAAAGAGATAAAAAATGTTTAATTGCGCATGTGGGCATCGTTTTGACTTTTCTTTGAACTTGTTTTTACAGACGCGTTGCACGTGAAACTTATGCTTACTTTTAGGCATTACATGTACTTTCTTAGTAGTTCAAACCAAGAAAGAGCAAGAGCGATTGTTCTAATTGAAGGTGGTGCGAGTTACAATGTTGTGTTCGTTTACTTTTATATTTCGTTTTCGACCAGTCGTTTTAAAAAAGAAATTAAATATAACTCAGGCCATCACCTGCAAATTTTGTTCATATTCAGGTTGTAAGAATGCTGAACGTGCACCGCACATCAGTAATTTACGCCGGCTTCGTATATAAATACGACTTTCATTTATTTATAATTTTTGTGACTTTGTAAAGTGGGGGCTGCATCGAATAAAATACAAAATCTTCAAAATACGAAGATGTCTATTGTTTGTTTTCAACTAAACACTGTCTGATATATTTCTTGAACTGCCCTGAAATATTAAAGCAATTATCCTCAATAGTTATAAAAATATTGCGAAAGGGCTACTGGTTGCGTTAGAAAAGTTGGGAGTTATGTTTCTAATAACTATGAAGATGTATGCTTGATGTGTGTGTGTGTGTGTGTGTGTGTGTGCGTGTGTGCGTGCGAGTGTGCGAGCGTGCGCACACGTGTGTTTTAAATGACTCATCGTCTCATGTTTTATTTAGCCCTTAACGTGGAATTTATTTGTACTAATTATCATTTCCTGCAACTAAATTAATTTGAATAGTTTTATATAATCACGGATTTATATTAATATATTTAATATAAATCCGTGATATAATGTAGTACGTACCAAAAATATACTATAATATAATAGTTTTAAAGTTCATTAGTACGGTTAGAGACTTAAATAAAGCCTGGGACAAAAATTCAATGTACATTTTTGATCCCGGGCATGATTAGAAGTATTTTTTTTCTTAAATAGATCTTACATATAAATATACTGTATAGTCTAAATAGTCAAATATTATTTGGAAGCATTGTATATATCGAAAAAAAGCTAGTATCCTTGAGCTTTCATTGCCCCTGGTCGTCTTTCGGCGGAATATACCAGCAGTTAAAACAAGTTTACCCTTGTTTTCTTTAACTATGCTAGTAGAAGTATATCCGAAGTATAATGATCATGTGACATATACAAGATGGCGGGCGACAGTATATTTGACGTTAGGTTGTACAACATTATTATGCTTGGCCTGTCCTTTATGCTTATATTCACGGCATTCCAAACGGCATCAATGGCTGAGGTATTTTTGATTATTTTATATATATATTTTTTTGAATTTGTTACGAATGAAGAAAAGACAACTATTCGGTAAAGGGTGAACTCGGACCTATACCAACTCGCCTCGGGTCAATGGTACTTGGTAGTCAGACTATCAAACACATTCTTTTAATAATCTTCTTTAAGAAATATTATTAAATTAATTAACTTTGACAGGATGCTTGTTTAAGTATAGTACTCACCGCGGGTACAGCATCCTTGCCCATTCCGATGTAATCAGAAAATTTGTTTCTTTACACATTGAATGCCACCAAATACTGTTTCCACCATTAAGTGAATGTGGAAGTGCAGCTTCTTGTGAATTTGGTTAGAAATTGTTAGAATTTTTTTCATTTCAATTAAATTCTGTCATTGATAGAAAAATCCAAATCTGCCTGTGTGTGCTGAAAAAACTTCTTTATTTTACCCCATATTTAACGGTTAAACTTATAATTTCATTTTCCGACAAGTGAAGGTTGTCTGCTGAAACTGTAGTGACAGCATATTCTGTTACAAAAAATTATACCGAAGCCAAAAAGGGCCATCAATTAACATACCAACGGTATCATAGTGCTCTCCGTATACATTGTAAACTCCCATTCTAAACATGGCTGACGGACCATAGATGTTTCTTATAAAAATCATTGAGTTATTCTATGAATGACATGTGTATTTTAAAGTCAAGATGCGGCAGCTAAACACAATTCAATAAAATAGTAAATATAAGTTCTTTTTATTTGTACAATTTTCTGGAAATAATAAGAACAGTGGTACCATAGGGGACTAGTCCAACTAATTGTAATGCGCGACGAGATATTGTGCTATTTTCGTGTCTGGGCAATATCTCGCCTCTAAAGCGAGATTCTGCCCCAGAACGAAAATATCTCAGAATCAAGCTTTGGCACGTCAATATATTTTGACTACATAGGGGACCATCCTAATTGCTTGATGAATTTGATGGGTCACGTGAGCGATCTAGGGCCATCTTGGCCCTCTTGTTTATTTTTTGTTTCCTATTATACTGGTGCCTCGTATTTCCGTGGTACCCATATTTCCAAGGTACCAGGCTTAACCAGTCTAAAATGCCTCCTAGACTTACAGTAATGAACCTGCAAGTAGTTTTACTTTTACTATTTTATTGTAATTTTATCGAAATGTTTCATATAATGATATAGAACTAAAAAAATTATTTTATTCAGATTAAGAGCAAAGTTTTTTAATATTTCACCATTTTTCTTTTAGATTTTCATACCTTTTAAGAAAATCTTCTTGTTAAACAACCATTGAGGTATATGATAAATGCCAAAGAGAAAATTGCCCCTTTCAGATGAGTCTAGGTATAGGTGTACAAATAAATAAAGATTACTATTGGTTTTGCTTTTGAAACTGTTAAAATGTAATTGCCTGGGTAATATGAGAACACAAATTTACTCACAAGGCTGCAGATAGGTGTCAAATACAATGTTGTATACATAATTGCTTACATGCAAACATTAAATGGAATAAACTCTGATGCAGTTGACATGTCTATCCTACAATGTTCATCGTGTTTTCCAGAGTTTTATCCTCTTAACTTTTGTTGTCTGTGTTAAACAGTTAAGTACCACGGAAATATGAGGCACCAGTATATAGTTTCCAAAAGGTTACCTATTTGCTAATTACCTGACCCATCTTTTGCTTGTGGTGCTTTTTGGCAATTAGTACAGTTATTGTGATTTAGTATTTTGTATGAAAGTCAAAACCCTTCGTTGTTTACATTTACATTCCTTTTAACAGAAATAGTTTTACATTCATCGCCACTTTCTTCAGGTGAAAAAAAAACAGCATGCTCTTTGGTGGTAGACAGACGTTTCACTATTGAGACGGTTCACACCAAGACGTTTCACTCCCATTTTTATGATTTACTAAAATAGACCTTAGATTTACTGAAAAATGAAATGAAAACTGAGATTTCACTTTTTGTCAATGACTTCAAACTCTTTTATGTTTGTATATCATAATTGTTAAAGTTTTATTTAATTTTTTTTACTTGATTGGAGAGATCTTTGATCTCTTTATGTTGGCCCATCTATCTTTTCAGATATTTATTCTTACTTAGGGGAGGATAGCATATATGTGTTTTACTGGATATAATTGTATAAAAGTTACAGTTCTTTAAAGCAGAGACATAGATAACTATCTTTTTAATTGGCTGAACATAGTCTTAAAACATTTCAATGGTCCAATAAACAACTGATTAGTAACTGTTGACACTAAAGTGCAATGTTTTTACAACTAATTTAATAATGATGTCATACTGTTAGTTGATGGTCTCAGTGTTTATACAACTAATTAGGTGATGAGATTATTGTTGAGATCACAATTACCTAAGTTTGTTTAATAGCTACTGTTTAATAAATTAATTGATAAAGAAATAATTTAGAAGAATAATTAATTTTATACACATTTTTTATAGCATTTCGTTGTATTATATTTACAAAAAAATTATAAATAAATTTAATATATTTAGAATGATATCATTTATGACTTAAAAATACTAATTACTGTACTGGTAGTGGTTTTCAATATTCAAACTGGTACTTATAATGTGTCTTTGTTGTTCATGATTGAACATTTTCATTTTGTTATTCTATTATATTACAATGTTGGAACTCTTATAATGAAAATGATATTTCAAACATTTGTCCTTCATTTAAACCTCTTATCATTAATTCAGCCCATACTTAAATGAGTATAATGATAATCTTCTAATAATTCATCAGAAATTAATTATGCCCTCATCAAAACCAATAATTTTTACCAGGAATTATTCAAAACACTATTTAAACAGAACAAAAATCACTTTCTAATCGGCGCTGATACTATACTGTAAAGATCATAATTATTTACACATTCTGTTATATTTCTGGAAAAAAATACTTTTATAATCATTCTTCATATTCACAAATTCTTCTTAACAATACTCTCAAATTCAACAAAATGAAACATTAAATTGAATTTTCCCTTAATAATTTTTTTTAACTTTCCTAATAAGCATCTAAAAATTTTAAAAATGGGAGTGAAATGTCCATACAATTGACAAATTGGGAGTGAAACGTCTAGGTGTGAACCGTCTTGGGATTGAAACGTCTTATAGTGAAATGTCTTGGGAGTGAAACGTCTGGCATTCCTCTTTGGTAAACATTATATAAATGTAAGAAAACTCATGATTGCTCTTTCTAAGAACAGTCATTCAATCCTACTCCTACATTTTGTAAGTTTTGGTGTAGTGCCTGGCCATGACAAGAAGATCCCTATTGTATTCAAAATCATTATGTCTAAGGATCACTGAAAGCTTGTCCAAATAGTAACTTGAGAACATTTTGATTTAAAGTCCTAATATTTGGTTTGAATGTTTGTTTTGACTAGATGATGACCCCTTATGATGGTCAGTTAGTCAAAAGTCAAGGTCACTATGGCATCATCCACTAAAAGCTTGTCCTACCACTTCATACTAGTACATCTAGAGCAAACTTTGCCTACTGTGTAGGTTGCCTTGATAGTCAAAGTAGATTATTTCTATTGATTTTGAGGTTAAAAGGTCAAAGATCAACACTACATTATTTTACTCCGTGTGTAAAATCCTGGTCAATTACTTGAGAATTATAAAGTCTAAAAAAACTTAGAAGGGACATTGCCAATGGCCAAATGATACTATGTATTGACTTTGAGGTCAGAGGTCAATGTTGCAGTGGCACTATGTTAAAAATCCTTGTTTTTTTCATTTTCAATCATTTGATAAGGAATAAGGCTATTTTTTTAACTAAGAAAGGACATTGTTTTGGCAGCAAATGCTATTTGTCTATTTTGAGTTCATTAGGTCAATAGTCAAGGTTCAATTGACAATGTATAAAGTCTTTGTCATATCAATATCTTGAGAGGTAATAGGCCTAAGTTAATGGAGCTTTATAGGGACATAGCCCTAATCTGTAGAATACCCCTTTTGATTTTGAGGTCATTTCTCAACTTTAAAGCAGCACGCCTCCTGATTCATTCTAATTTTCATTAAAATTTTGAAAATGTATCTGAATGTTTAATTTTGTGAAGGAACCAAAATGAAGCAATTTGCTTATTTTCAATGGCACTTACAACCCACGTAGATTACCGAAAAGTCGTCAAAATATGCATAAATAGCCCTTACTGCGTTAGTTACGCAGTAGAAATTTAGCTGTAAGTACTGAAAAATCAGTCATTAATCACACAGAACTAGCAAAAATATTACTTGAATCTTGAATCTTTTTACATTTCCTAAAATTATAGTACATGTTTCTTAAGTTTGATTTTATTAAAATATTTTGACTCATCTAGAGGCATGTAGCTTTAAGCTGAAGATTCACTTCTTAAGAAGATTACATTTGTATACACACATTCGTCTTCCATTGCCTTGGTATGTGGAAATTGTTGAGAGGCACAAGACAGTGGCAAGAGATTAAAGATTCACTGCTTTGTATTAATTTGCAAGTCTGCAACTCGTTGTTAAGTTTAAGGTGGCACTACCCAATTCATATGGAATTAGCTGCCTATGTCCTGGCTGAAGCCAAAGGGAGTTACATAGGTAAGTTTACGAGGAAGGGCACTAGGGTGCATTAGCACCTTGTATGATGAGATTGCTTGAATGGTGGAGGCCTTTGTTGGCAACATCAGCCATTATCGGGGCTACCTCTTCATTATTGTCTCTGGTTACAATGTGTTCTAGGTCTCTTCGGTGCTGTACATTGACTTACTTTTTATTTCAAATTCATCTTTACGGCTTATACTTTGTGGAATTTATAAGAAGGACCACTTTGTGCTTAAAAATTAAACCTTTAAGGGCTCGACTGTTGGCATATCCACACGTCCGTACTTGACTCCTTAACTGTAGACCCTCATTGAACATAGAATACAGCCAACAGGTGCACATATTTTCATGTAACTGCACTTCCCAGCAGTTTGCCCAAGGTCAATACTGTTGGTTTTTTCAACCTAATGTTGATGATGGTAAGCTTCAAAACTGAAATCCAGATAAAACCATTTAAAAAAATACAGGAGTTAGGGTCAGAGTTAAAATTTTGCATTAACACTGTTTAACAAATATTCATATTTTTTTAGTTGACATTTTCTGATATTGGGAGCATTGTGATGTAATAATCACCATCTATTATAGCTGTAGTTAATTTTCATTAATTTAAGATATAAATAATGAGGTTATCAGCTCAATTGTTATCATGAACATAGTACAAGGCTACTCTTTATGTTCAGAAATAGATTATTTCCTGATACAGCAACATATAAACACATTTTATGTATCTTCAATATGATAAATACAATGTAGACTGATACTATTTACTATTATCTAATTAATCTTTCTGACCAATTAAAGTGAAATTATGCCCATCTATTGACATTATGCCCATCCAAGGGTATATTTAGTAAGTGAACAGATGAAAGTAAAAATAATTTACATTTTGCCATAATTCCTTTCAATTTTATAAGTTACTTTGCATGATTGATATTGAACTAACATGGCCTAAAGAAATTTCTCTTAATGTCCACCTCATTTCCGCTAAACTTGACAATGAAAAAAATGAGCATTATGTCACTTTAACAATCCATTTGTTAATGTACATGTACACATAGACAATATTATACCACTTCACATTTCATGATCTTTATAATTTTGATGATTCAAGTCTCATTTTATCAAGTTAATAATGTCAGAATAATTATATGATGTAATTATTTTTTGCAAATCAGCATTTTTTACATTTTGTGTACCATTTACTTCTAGTGAAATACGATCAATTTTAGTTTTTATAAAACAATGAAAATAAAATTAGGATCATAATTATTTCCTGATATTTCCTTAGTGAATATGGGACCAGAAGCTTGTTTTCTTTAAGCTAATTGTTATTAATAATTTTGTACAAATTTCGTACTATAATGATGTAATTTTACATGAGTGTGACATAATTTATTACAAGTTTACATAAACTTATGTATATAAATATAACCTAAATAACAAAATTATCACTAACCTTAGTTTATGACACCAAATTATAACTTGTAAGATTAGTTACTAAGTTCAACAAAAGTTAAATTTGCCACTAATAAAAATAATGCCTCAATGCGAAGATAAGATTTACTTTTTTTAACAGGACAAATATACAAGAAATAATGAATTTTAAGATATGAACTCAAAAAGACCCCTATTTTTGATAAAATATCTTATTTCATGGAATGTGGTTCAATTTGCATTTACATATCCCCTCAATTACATATACATGTAACTCAGTGAGATTGTGCATCTGCTTCATTTACATTTTATTTTTTAACTGTAAACTAGAATATATTTGAAGCATTATAAGAAATGAAAATAAATAGAAGGCACACTTTATTCTTTAGAATTTGTTCATGAGATTAATAACGTTCTGTTTATTATTCATTTGTTTTTGGCAATGATTTACCTTCCCTTATTGTTTTTGGGCACTGATGCTTTAAGGTCAGGGTCATAGTGTCCTTGAACGTGTAAACCATTTCCACTCAGTAACTTAAGAACCATTTAACCCACAGCCTTCAAACTTTATAGGATAATCACCCTCAATTAGTAGAAAAACCCTATCATTTTTTGGCACTAATGCATGAAGGTCAAGGTCACAGACTCACAGTGACATTGAATGTGAATACCATCTCCTCTCAAAAATTTGAGAACCATTTGACCCACAACCTTCAAATTTCATAGCATGATCACCCTTATGAGTAAATGTGTCTGTTGTTTTAGCAGCCAGTATGTGAATGTCAAGGCCACAGTGGGCTAAATTTTTCTGTCAAGGATTTGTTTGTCTGCAGACCTAGAAATCATCAAAACAAACTTACAGACCAATTTCCAGGATATTTGGATCAAAACTGCAGCCACTAGAGTGTTAACAAGATTGTTATGTGTAAATCATTAACCCTTAACCTGCTGAATTTCTGAAATGTACTTATCTATCTTCCTTTTTCAAACTGTCTATTATTTGTTTTAGGGATATAAAGTTGAAATTTTTATGTTGTTGAGCCTGGTCAGACTGTACAGATATGCCTACTGGCTTGGCTCTATACTGGTGACAAAGGCTAATCTCGGTTCCAGATATGGATGGGTTGATATCTTATTATCTTCTATGAAACTTATAAATTTTTCTTTATGAATATTTCAGAAAAGTGTGCTGGACAGTGCCAAAAATGAATCTGAATCAACAAATGGAACAAAATTCACTGGTGATGGATATACAAGGTAAACCTAAAATCACCTGGTCAAGATTGAGTTTTCTTTACAGCATGTTTTTCCATTAAATTTCTGTTACTGTCAGACAAAATGGAGAGTCAGGCCTTTATAATTAATTATTTCTAGAGTCTTTATTTGACTGACTTTTGCACAAAACAGTTAATATTGCAAAATTAACATTCATAGTTTGGCTTTCCAGAAGTCAAAATACTACCGAAAACATTTGTGATGTTGGCAAAAATATATTTTTTACATGTATATATACTAGTATTGTTATGTATTGATTAAGAAGAATGTATCTTTTGTTGTTAATTTTCTATTCTGAATGTTGTTAAGTCAAAGCAAGACTTTTCATAGAAAACGATTGTGCCTGAGTGAGTCTTCACATTGCATGAATAGTAGCAACCAATTAGCTCAGTAACATATGTTGATGGAAATAACTATTCTGCTATATATCAGTTTTTGTAGAATTTGACATAAAATGCAATGTATAATGAAAACTACCATTTATAATTATAAAGATATAGTACCTTTAAATAAGAAAGATGTTGTTGACTGCTTAATTGATCATTTAAAATCCCTGAAGCACATAATTGACTGTCTTATCTTAAAGTTTAGCATGGGAAAAGTTACATGTTGGTTTTTTTTCTTCTCTTTTTTGGGGGGATGGGGGGGGGGGGGGGTAAAATAATGTTGTATTATATGTATTTGGGAATTGCCCCCTGTGCACAATATTATCAGTTAGTGTAGATAAAATGTTTATTTTTGTTACTTTATATTGCAATAATTTTTGTTTATGTCTGACCCTTTTCAGAAATATGAAGGTTTTTATCAACTTTGTGAATGACTATCTTGACGATATATCTTGTATCTATTTGTAAACTGTAGATATGATTTATTTAAATGTAAACACACATCAGACATATCTGATTTTATTTATATATCAGTTAATTGAATTTGTAAGATAATAGTGCACTGCAATATACTCGAGTAACTGTTATGAAGTTGCTCTTTTTCAGGTAGCTTAATTGCATATCTGACACATTTTTAGCTCACCTGTCACAAGTGACATGGTGAGCATTTGTGAACGATTTTCGTCTGACGTCCATCCGTAAACTTTTACTTTAAACAACATCTCCTCGTAAACCGCTTAGCCAATTTCATCCAAACTTCACTGGAATGTTCTTTTGGTAGTCAACTTTAAAAATTGTTCAAAGAATTTAATTCCATGCTGAACTCTGGTTGCCATGGCAACCAAATGAAAAAACTTAAAAAATCTTATTTAAAAAAAAAACGAAAAAGATAGAGCTTAAATATTTGGCATGAAACATTATAAGTCTAGTCAGTGTCTACCAAGTTTGTACAAAAAAAAATCCCTTGGGTCAAAATTGGCCCCGCCCGGGGGGTCATTGATTTTTAGCTCGACTTTTCTATGAAAAGGGGAGCTATCCTACTCGCCCCGGCGTCGGCGTCGGCGTCACACCTTGGTTAAGTTTTTCGTACCACCCCACTTTATTTCAGAAGTATTACAAGTATGGCTTTGAAACTTACCATACTTGTTCACCATCATAACCTCCATCTACAGACAAGAGTACATAACTCTGTCAAGGTTTTTGACAGAATTATGGCCCTTTTTTGACTTAGAAAGTGTATTGAGCTTGGTTAAGTTTTTTGTACCACCTCACTTTATTTCAAAACCATTGGAGGTATTGCTTTGAAACTGACCATACTTGTTTACCATCACGACCTTCATCAACAGACAAGAGGACATAACTCTGTCAAGGTTTTTGACAGAATTATGCCCCTTTTTGACTTAGAAAATACATTGAATATGGGTAAAATCCACTTATTGCCTTAACCCTTTGAGATATTGCTTTGAAACTTTTAATGCTATTTCACATCATTACCCCCATCTGTACGCAAGAGAAGGTAACTCTGTCAAGGATTTGTTTTAAAAATTAAGGCCTTTTATCGACTTAGAATCTTGGTTAAGTTTTTAGTACCAGTCCACTTTTTGACTGAACTGTTTGAGATATTAATTTGAAAGTTGGAATACTTGTTCACTTTAAAAATACAGAGATTCTTGTATTGCCTTTTACTGCAAAAACTTTTTTTATTGGCAAGCAATAAAAATGTCGAGCGCGCTGTCTTACGGACAGCTCTTGTTCTTATTTGTATATAGTTAAAACTTAAAAAATCTTCTTTTAAAAAACCATAAGAGCTAGAGCTAAGATATTTAGCATGAAACATCTTCTAATGGCTGTCTACCATTTCTGTTCAAATAAGGGCCCTAGGGTTAAAATTGGCCCCGCCCCTGGTGTCATTGATTTTCCTTATATGTGTATTTTTAAAAAATCTTCTTTAAAAAACCCAAAGAGCTAGAGTTTAGATACTAAGCATGAAATATCTTCTAGTGAGTGTCTACCAAGTTTGTTCAAATAAAAGCCCTGGGGACAAAATTGGCCCCGCTCAGAGGGGCGGGGTAATTGTTTTCCCTATATGTGTATAGTAAAAACTTAAAAAATCTTTTAAGAGCTAGAGCTTAGATATTTATCATAAAACATCTTCAAATGGGTGTCTACCAAGTTTGTTCAAATAAAAGCCCCTGAGTTAAAATTAGCCCCGCCCCGGGGACCTATATACAGGTGAGCAACTTCAGGGCCATCATGGCCCTCTTGTTTGTTTTGTTTACACCAGATGGGAATATCTATCTCTCGGGTAACTGTTGAGTGGGGACTGGTAAGAGCCTCATTATTGCCACAAACAGTTACCCTCCAGGTAGATATTCTGGTTTGTAATGGTAATCAGTGTTAGATTCATATATCACCTCTAAGAGTTAATGACAAAAGCCAATTCTTTCACCTCTACCTGTCCAGTTAGTTTTTATTGTTAAGCAAAGAAGTAAGAAACTAAGCTATTTTTTGGCAATATGTACCTGAGACATTTGAATATTCAATGACCTTTGTCGGTAATTATCAGATTCCGCAGTAAATCTTGACGGATTTTAATGTATTGTACAACAGTACATGTATAGCTAAGAATTTACAGCAAACTCTTACCTTACTAGCCTCGGTAACAAGGTGTAAGACTTCAGTTAGTTTTAAATTAAAGATTGTAGGTTGTTTTCGTGTACGATTTTTTCCTATTATATTTTTCAAAACCTGACCACTATGTTTTATGCACGCAAAGCACTCATTGTATGACTTCACATATTGAAGCAAATGAAATGAAAAAATATGTATTTATCAAAATGAGGAATTTAATAAAAAATGTTAGAAAAGAAACACACAACTGATGTACTGATGTTTCATATAAATAAAAGAAATAAAGAATCAGTTTGTGAAAGCTACAAAAATGGTTTGTTAAAGATTCAAACTTCATGGGTACAATTCTGTCGTACTTACCACTAGGCCATGAAACAGTATTTATTGATTAAAGTATCAAGATCTATATTATCATTAAAATCCTAATTGTAAATCGTAACAAATAATGAAAACTAACAAAAAATCTCCCAACATTTAATGTGTCTGAGGTCAATATTGCCAAACAAATATCACTTGTATTAAGTATTTAATATCAGACATAACACAATATTGATTGGCACATGTATGTAAAAAGATATTTTGATTAAATTTTTGTATCACTTTATTAACAGCAATATATTTATTTCAGTTTGAGTGTTATCTATATTGTATTCTCGGTGTCAAACTGGCTGGCTCCTTCTATAATAGTGATAACTGGACCGAAACTCTCTATGTTCATCGGATCCCTACTCTACTTGTAAGTAAATTGAATTTATTTACTCCTAAAGGTATGATTTGAAACTGGAACTGACTGTGTAAAGCTTAAAGTGGATTGGTCTGTAATGGAAGGTCTGTAAATACAACAAAATATTATTTTGATAGTATTAAGTATCAGACATAACAACAAACCATAAAGAAATTACATTTAGATGCTGGTGGCAAGTGTTAGAGATGATCATGAAAATAAAACTTTCTTCTTGATTCAAGTGTACTTTGTATACACATAAGGGAAGCAACTCTGTAGAAGTTACTTTACAGTAGAAATGTACAGAGACAAAAAGAAATATCAAAGTATTTTTAAAAAAAAATGCTATTGGATCTATCCAGTGTATTAAAGACATTAATACACGTCATAGACAGGCCAGAAAGTAACAAACGACCCTGAAATGAATAATGCCCTTGCCCTCGGGGCAATTAATTTCATTTTGCAGGCCAATTATCTCCTACCGGCCCTACTCTGCCATGTATTAATCTCTTAATCCAAATGACACATTTGAATTGTTTTTATCAATATTTGAAACACTTATGGAAAAATGTATCCAATGTAGACCAATCCACTTTAAGTTTAGTTTTGAATATTTGAGCCGCGTCATGACAAAACCAACATAATGGGTTTGCGACCAGCATGGATCCAGACCAGCCTGCGCTTACAAACCCTATAACAAGTAGAGAAACTGATAGCGAACAGCATGGATCCTGATCAGACTGTGCGGATGCGCAGGCTGGTCTGGATCCATGCTGGTCGCAAACCCATTATGTTGGTTTTGTCATGACGCGGCTCATTTCTATATGTGTAACTTTCCTATAATTTTGGCAAGCAATTAAAGTGATTTCCAGAGACATGATTGTATAACTTAACAAATGAATAATGATAGTTTTAAGGGAGTTATAAATCTAGCAATACATAAACTTTATAGTATGGAAGTATAGAAAAGATTTAAATTGTGCAAAATATTAGACATCTGTGATTTTTGTGAATTCTGTGAAAATGAATTCTGCAATTTTTCTGATGTTTTCTATCTTTTCAGTTTATTTATCCTATCATTTTTGAAGCCAATGACATGGGCATTATATACAGTGTCAGGACTCGTAGGATTTGGTGCTGCAAGTTAGTAATAATACTCATATCAAATTTTTAATCTTTAAATGAATACATAAAAAATTGTTGATTTTAAAGCTGGTTAAATAACATAATATCACACTCAAATATTTCAGTTCATTTTTTTCCTTAAATTTCTTTTTGCATTACTTGCACAACAGATGTAATAATTTTCCTAATTCAGGATAATTGTTCCACTTTCCAATTGTGAATTGAATAATTATGGGAAGATTTAACAAGGAGTACACAAACATAGGAATGGAAACAAAAAATGATTGTGCTCTGTCATATAAGTATCCTGTATTTTATTTTCTAGCATGCTTGAATATGTCTGTATTGTTTAAATTTGTTTTTTACAGTATTATGGACAGGACAGGGAAATTTTTTAACTATAAACTCTGACTCTGAAACAATATCAAGAAACAGTGGCATTTTCTGGGCTCTGCTGCAATGTAGGTATGTGACAAAATTTACAATTGAAGTGAAACAGTTTAATGTAACATTTAAAAAGCAAAAAAGTTAGTTTATGGAGAATTTATTTAAGTTCAGTTGTGTAGGAAGCTTTAACCTTTGTACCTGTTCCTGGAACTAACCAGTACTGAGAAATGAATGTAATGTTTCTTGCTCAAGGAAACAACGGCTTGCCCCTGGCAGAGTTTGAACCCACACTGTTAGCCATGGCGCCACATGACCAGATAGATTACTAAGGAAGTATGCCTAAACAACTTACAATTTCATGGTTTGGCTAGAGAAATGATAATTCCTAAAATCTAAATGATCTCATTAAAATCTTATTTGCAAAATAATAACTAACCCATTACCAGGTGGAACTGAAAGTGATAAGTGTTCGTCACCAGTATATAGCCAAGGCAGCCTACAAATGTGTGCATTCTGACCAAAATCTATAATGCAGGTAGCTCAAATTTTGTATTTTGGTATTAAAATCCCTTAAACTTTGAACAGATTCAGCAGGTGAAGGGCTAAAATGATGTTTCTTTTACAGTTTACTCTTTGGTAATGCATACAGCCATTTTGTGCTTCAAGGAAGTGATAGCATAACAAAAGCTGAGCGTAACAAACTATTTATTGGATTAAGTGGTGCTGCATTGCTTGGATCCATATTCTTACTTTTCCTAAGGAAGAAACGTACAGCAGATTCAGATGATTTAGTTAATCTTAACTCAAGGTATGATATACATTTTAACATTTAAGTAAATTTATCATTTCTTAAATAAATATGGTCCTGCTCATTTAATCATTCATGGTAGACATGCCAGTGATGTGAGGTTATATTATAGTCTTAAGATCATTTTGTGTATTAGAACAGAGTTATATTTTATTGACTGAAATGAAAATGAATTTTAGTTTGCGATAAAAAATCATTAAATTTTGAAAGTGTTATAAAGATAATTGTATTAATAAATCTCTTAATACCTAACTACTCCATATTAGTTTGTTTTAAATTTCAGTGGGCAGGCAAAGGTGGATACTCCTTTAACAGCATTAAGTAAGTTTTTGTTTTAGAAGTTGTTGAACAAAAAGTAAGTTTCTTCAACAATGTGCATCTTTTAGGAAACTACAATCAATGGTTCAGGATGCTGCTCTTATGTGTATTGTCAGCTATGGTCTTTTTCATGAAATTTACTTCATTTTTTGAAGCATTCTTGTGCCCTTGACTAGAGCTTATGATTTACTGGTAAATAGAAAAAAACTTTAAATGACTTCATCTGATTTAGCGTATTGGTTATTACAAAGCTTGGTCTGAAAAGGTATTGGATGTTTTTCCATAAAGTTAGCATAAATTAAGTTTTGTTAGCCTTTTGTAGCAGTATTTGGTGATAAATAAATTGTATAAAATTGCCTGCTTTAATATTTTGTATGTATATACATTTTAGAGAGGTCAGTTCATCTAATGAAAACCAAGGAGATGTTGTTATTGAGCATTTCAATAGCTTATACAGGTAATAATTATAATAAATTCTGTTACATTTATATTAAGATGATATATTATGATGACACACTGCAAAGTTCTTTAGTACTGACTACAAATTTGTTAAGATGTATGTGTTTTGTAAGCTTTTTATTTACTTTGTTCCATAATTTTACTTTCAGTGTATTGCTTTAAAGACATTATTCCTGAATTACTGTGTGGTTCCTTTTCAGTACAATACAATGTTATTTGCTTCTTTATATACTAGTATCTGATATTTATTTTAATAACAAATTCTTCAAAGGGATTTATTAATCATTTTACAAAATTATTGTACAAATAGTAGTGTGAATATAAAAATCAGTTTGAAGTCTTTTCAATATTATATTTAATCTTGCAGGACTTGAGTTGACATTTTTTAGTGGAGTTTACAGTACTTGCTTATCAAACACCAAATACTTTGGCACAGAATCCAAGGGCCTTATTGGAATATCTGGCATGTTCATTGGAGCAGGAGAAATTATAGGTGTGTTTGATTTATTCACCTTATTAACTTTCCTGTATTCTGAAGTTTTAAGGTATTGCTTCAATTGTCCCTGTGTTGTATGCATGAAATGTACCCTTTAAAGTTGAACACATTGAAAGTTAGTGCTACCTTAATGAAAGTTTTTGCCTTATAAATTTGAAAACTAAAATTATTTAGCTATCTTAATTCTAAAACATTTAAACTTTAAGACATCGTCTCATAAACCACTAAGACAATTTCATCCAAACTTCACAGGAATGTTCCTTTAGTAGTCAACAGATGATGGTGAAGAAATAATACTAAATTTTAGATTTATGATTGATATTTTATTATGCAAATTCTAAGACTATACATCAAAATATAAGAATTCATTATGTTTGTTTAAGATTTAGTTGATAGAAATACTTTAATGATATGTTTTTAGCTCACCTGTCACAAAGTGACATGGTGAGCTTTTGTGATAGCTTTTCGTCTGGCGTCCGTCCGTTCATTTTCCGTCCGTAAACTTTTACTTTAAACGACATCTTCTCATAAGCCACTAAGCCAATTTCATCCAAACTTCACAGGATGTACCTTTGGTAATCAACTTTAAAATTTGTTCAAAGAATTTAATTCCAAGCAGAACTCTATCTTCTTTTAGAAAACCGAAAGAGCTAGAGCTTAAATATTTGGTATGAAATTGATTTTCCTTATTTGTATATAGTAAAACTTTAAAAAAAATCTTCTTTTAAAAAACCAAATAGCTAGAGCTTAGATATAAAGCATGAACATTTTCTAGTGGTTGTCTACCAAGTTTGTTCAAATAAAAGCCCTGGGGTAAAAATTGGCCCCTCCCCAGGGGTCATTGTTTTTCACTTTATGTATATAGTAAACACTTAAAAAATCTTCTTTTATAAACCCCAAAGAGCTAGAGCTAAGATATTCTGCATGAATCATCATTTAATGGGTGTTCAAATAAGGGCCCTTTGGTTAAAATTGGCCCCGCCCCAGGGGTCATTGATTTTCCTTATATGTGTATAGTAAAAACTTAAAAAATCTTCTTATAAAAAACCTAAAGAGCTAGAGTTTAGATACTAAGCATGAAATATCTTCTAGTGAGTGTCTACCAAATGTGTTCAAATAAAAGCGCTGGGGTTCAAAATTGGCCCCTCCAAGGGGGGGAGAGTTATTGTTTTTTCCCTATATGTATGTATATAGTAAAAATTTAAAAAATCTTCTTATAAAAACCCAAAAGAGCTAGAGCTTAAATATTTATTATGAAACATCTTCTAATGGTTGTCTACCAAGTTTGTTCAAATAAAAGCCCCTGGTTTAAAATTGACCTTGACCCAGGGGTATATATACAGGTGTGCAATTTCAGGGCAATCATGGCCCTCTTGGTTCACTTTTGAGCCCAGATTTCATGGTGTTTTTTTTTTATCACATGCACTTGCTGTTCCTTGCTGTCATTCTTACAAATGATATTCCAGTTGTTGATTTCCCTTTGTATTGTTTTTACTACTTTAGCAAGTTACTAGTATTCAGTGTAAACTGTGTGTATGCTAAGCTGCAGAATTTATGTTATTATATTGTTTATAGGAGGGACATTGTTTGGGTTGATGGCTAAGAGAACAAATCGTCATGGACGTGACATTATAGTGATGTTTGGTTATGTTGTTCATATGGCATGTTTCTACCTCATCTTTATAAATCTACCCAGTAAATCACCAATAGACCCTACTGATGAGGCTACATACATGACAACAAAGTAAGTCCTTCCTAAATTGTGTTTGTAGTGATTCTTTTTTTAGAGGAAATAAGACTCTTAACTCTTTGCACTAAGAATAGTCTAGTGTTGCTTGTCTGATAATCTCTTGTTGCCTACATCGTGGTCAGTAACAAGCCATATAATTAACATTTCATTAATTTAACCAGCTATAACCAGGGTAGCTAGTTCAGACCAAGGGTGAGGTGTAATTTCTCTGTGACAATTAATCCAGGACATTGAGTCTAAAAGTGGTCATTTGTCTTTGACGGCTGATTAAGATGAGTAGTCAGTTACTTGTGGTAGTTATTGGTAAGATACTCAGGAAAGCAGATTAGATTGATTGACCGCCAAGATATGACCAAAGCATGTGTTTAAATAAACATTAAAATCCAGATGTAGAAATAAATATCTAGAGTATAAGAATAAAATGTGTGCAAGTTTGAGTCACTTTTCACTTTCACATTACCTCATTACAGCAGTAAGCTGAATATTTTGTCATGTCACATCTTTAAAATGTAAGAATGTGAAATTGGAAACATCCAGTATAAACAATTTTTTAAATTTATGCCCCACAAAGTGGGAGCATATAGCGTTGCACTTGTCCGTCCGTCCGTCCATCCGTCAGTCAGTCCGCACTACCGAATAGGGATAGGGGGCCATCTAACTGTAAACAGAACAAAGGAGAACAATAGAATTCATTCCGTAACAATAGAGTAAGGGGCCATTGGCCCTCTATTAAACAATAGAAAATAACAAAAGAAATGGCCCCTTATTCCATTTCGGCCGGACGATTTTTATGCCCCCACAATGTGCACTTGTCCTTCCGTCCGTCAGTCCGTCCGTCCGTACGTCCCGAAATCTTGTGAACGCAACTCCTCTTAAACCGGATGGCAGATTTTGCTTAAACTTACAGGGATGAACAACCTTAATGTGTAGATGGTAGTAAAGGAAGGAATTTTCGCTGCGACCAAATTTAACTTAATTATGGCCCTTTGTTGATTTTTTCACTAGATACTATGTAGAAATTTTGTGAACGCAACTCCTCTTAAACCGGATGGCAGATTTTGCTTAAACTTACAGGGATGAACAACCTTAATGTGTAGATGGTAGTAAAGGAAGGAATTTTTGCTGCGACCAAATTTAACAGAATTATGGCCCTTTGTTGATTTTTTCACTATATACTATGTAGAAATTTTGTGAACGCATTTTCTCTTAAACCGGATGGCAGATTTTGCTTAAACTTACAGGAATGAACAACCCTTAAGGTGTAGATGGTAGTAAAGGAAGGAATTTTCGCTGTGACCAAATTTAAAGAGTTATGGCCCTTTGTTGATTTTTTCACTATATACTATGTAGAAATTTTGTGAATGCAACTCCTCTTAAACCGGATGGCAGATTTTGCTTAAACTTCCAGGGATGAACAACCTTAATGAGTAGATGGCAGTAAAGGAAGGAATTTTTGCTGCGACCAAATTTAACAGAATTTATGGCCCTTTGTTGATTTTTTCATTATATACTATGTAGAAATTTTGTGAACGCAACTCCCTCTTAAACCGGATGGCAGATTTTGCTTAAACTTCCAGGGATTAATAACCTTAATGTGTAGAAAGTAAAGGAAGGAATTTTTGCTGCAACCAAATTTAAAACAGAATTATGGCCCTTTGTTGATTTTAATTTTCAATTGGCAGATTTTGCTTAAAAAATATTTGCAGGTTACAATAAGATGAACAACCTTAATGTGTAGATGGTTTAAAGGAAATTTTGGAACGCAACTTTTAAACCGGATGGCAGATTTTGCTTAAACTTACAGGGATAACAAACCTTAATGTGTAGATGAAAGGATTATGGCCCTTTGGCCCTTGATTTTTTCACTATATACTATGTAGACATTTTGTGAACGCAACTCCTCTTAAACCGAATGGCAGATTTTGCTTAAACTTCCAGGGATGAACAACCTTAATGTATAGATGGTAGTAAAGGAAGGAATTTTTGCAGCGACCAAATTTAACAGAATTATGGAACTTTGTTGATTTTTAGTTTTCAACTTGTGGCACATGTAGTCCAAAAAAATATTTGACCTAGAGTCATAAGATTGACAGAACAGTGGCATGTGGGGGCATCCGTATCCTATGGACACATTTCTAGTTATATTAATTTTGCTGATTATATATATACATGTATATATTTGACCAATTCCAATTACTTACTTTAAAATTGTACAGTGTAATGGGCCAATATATTACGTGATATGCTGTACATTGTAGTAAACAATATGTTTTATTAAGACAATTGAGTGCATATGACCACTGTTTGCAACAAAAGTACCTGAGTAACATCTATAAAAAGCATTGAATGTGTCTTCCCTAAATGAAGCTGATTGATGTTTCTTGTCAGAATATTACGCTACAGTGCTTGTAGTTTTAATTAGTACACAGCTTGAGAAATCATATTGTTATGCCTACCAGCTTGTCTAATAGGGTTTCCAGATATATTCTTGTCCATATATATTACCATATTATACAGTTCACTGTTTAATAACCTGTAATTATTAGCTGTCATTTTGTCAAAATGTATTAACATGATGTTTTGCATTTTCAGTAAATATGTGGCTATTCTATGCAGTTTCTTGCTTGGTTTAGGTGATAGTAGCTTTAATACACAGATTTATTCACTTCTTGGCTTCATGTTTCCTGAGGATAGTTCGCCAGCATTTGCCATCTTCAAGTTTATACAGGTAAATTATAACTTTTAATAGAGTTATCATATTGATGAGGTTAATATTTACTTTGTAAAGATGACATTTATTGTAACTGTTACATACATATGTGATTCATGGATAGGTATGTTATCATACACATTACTTATTGTAAAAGTAAACCATAACATTGAAATAAAGTACATGTAGTTTCATCATTCCTTAATACAATAACTGTAAGTTTAATTTCTGCCAAACTTAACTTGAATGTTTTTAAGGGCATTGCTATGTTTATACTTCTCCAAAACTTTTTTCCTGGTGAGCTCTTGTTACCATTTTAAAAGGAACAAAAGTGTTAAATAATCTTAAAGATCATTTGCTTTATACCTAAACGGGAACTTTTAAAATTCTGTTAAATAAGAAAGTTTATCTTTACTTACAACAGTTACTTCCAAAGTTTTGTTTTATAATTATATATTTTTATGCTCCCTGAAAAATTTCGGGGGAGCATATAGTCGTCGGGTTGTCCGTCCGTCAGTCTAGAAACTTCAAACTTGGTATGGTGATTGGTCATGACCAGCAGATGACCCCTATTGATTTTGAGGTCAAGAGGTCAAGGTCACATTGACCTTGTAGGTAAAAACGGTTTCCAATCAATAACTAAAGAACGCTTAGGCCTAGGAACTTCAAACTTGGTATTGTGATAGGTCATTGGAGCATATAGTCGTCGGGTCGTCTGTCAGTCCTTCGTCCGTCAGTCCATCCGTACGTACGTCCCAAATTCATGTCCGGCCTATAACTTTGTTATTTGAAGTCGGATTTTAAAAACTATTTCACAGAAATGATCACCATATTTAGACGACGTGTCACGCGCAACATTTGGGTTGCTACCTTGAAGGTCAAGGTCACAGCATGACCTTGAAGCAAAATAGTGTACGATCCATAACTTCATTATTTGAAGTCGGGTTTTAAAACTGTTTCACAGAAATGACTACCATATTGAGACAATGTGTCTCGCGCAACATTTAGGTCGTTACCTTGAAGGTCAAGGTCACAGCATGACCATGCAGCAAAATTGTGTCCGGCCCATAACTTCGTTATTTGAAGTTGGATTTTAAAACTATTTCACAGTAATGATCACCGTATTGAGACGACATGTGGCGCGCAACATTTGGGTCGCTATATTGAAGGTCAAGGTCACAGCATGACCTTGCAGCAAAATCATGTCCGGCCCATAACTTCGTTATTTGTAGTCAGATTTAATAACTATTTCACAGAGATAATCACCATATTGAATCGATGTGTCACAGCATGACCTTGCAGCAAAATCATGTCCGGCCCATAACTTCGTTATTTGAAGTCAGATTTTACAACTATTTCGCAGAAATGATCACAATATTGAGACAATGTGTCGTGCACAACATTTGGGTTGTTTTTACACTTTGAACTTTGTCTGTGACATAACTCTGACACTACAAGAGGTATACCTTCCTGTTTCCAAAACCTATTCGGAGAGCATCACCCGATTCAACCAGCTCTTGTTTATTTCACTAATATTTATTCAAAGTTTAAAAGCAATACCCCAAATTGATAAGACCTTATTCAATTATCAAGTAAGAAAGTGCTATTGTTAAGCTTTTTTCGTTTACTGAAATCATGTGAGAAAAACAGTTGTTATTATTTTGTCTTGACCTACATACACTCTTTTATTATATACTTATAAATGAAACTTTGAGAAATATTGATGAAATAAAATGTGTATTTTCACTTTAAAAATTATTTTTTTCACTGCAGTGAAACATATTTTCAGTATTTTAACTGGTGTCTTGCCGGACTTCTTTCTTCTAAATTGAGCCAGTAAACAAAAGTCAAGGGGAAGTCTTTCAAATTGTAATGTTTAAAAAAAAGTAAAATGTATATAATAAACTGAAAATTCAAGTTTTTTCAATACATTTATTTTCATCTTGTGGTATGAAAACTATCATATTTCACTTGTGGCTAGTGCCACTCATGAAATATTTATTTTCATACCACTTGATGAAAATGAATCCTGTATTTATAGAAAAAAACTTGAATATCCTCTATTTATTTCCAGTCAATAGCTGCAGCAGTTGCATTTTTCTACAGTGATTATTTGATTCTGAAATGGCAGCTCCTCATTCTTGTGATAGCCGGGTCCATTGGTTCCTTGTCTTTCTCTGTAATAGAATGGGAAAGTACAAACCTGAAGCGGGAGGGGTACCAGAGCATTTGACAATTAGACGTAAGTATGGAACGAAAATTACATAATCATAGAATGTTTACAGTTGGCCATGTAAAATTTATTGCAAAAATTATATCTTGATTACTATTTTGTTTTAAATGTGCTTTCAGATCAAGATTGCCAGTTAAACTGAATTATAAAACTGTTAATTTAGCTGTGTAATTTAAATTCATTCAAAATTTTTATATGTGTCAAAATATTTTACAATTATTTTGCTGATTAAAAGTGCATACATATATCACAAAAAGTTAATAGGTGTTTTTCAACCTTGTATACCAATTGATAAAGAGTATGATTAAAAGTTACAGTGTATCTAAATACTTAATTGATAATGGAAAAAATTGTTTTTTTTATTATATAAGTATATTTACTTAAAATTTGTCAAGTACAATTTGAAATTACTCTGGTAAGCTCTTTTTTCTACAAGAAAAAATATAAATAATTATATTGGTGCCTTGTTTCTATATATACAATTGATGTTTTAATGGGTTATGTACATGGTCCCAAGTCAAGCATTTTAAAATGGTGTGGATAGGAATGTAATCTGTGTCACATTTTAATTTAAGAATTATATAATTTATTTTAGAATTTAAATATGACATTACTGTCTTGTTGTTTGTTTCAGCCATCTGATAATTTAGTAATTATATGATTATATACATTACATACACATATATTGTTCTTCCTCTCCAGAGCACACACATACCTACTTTCATGACACACATTAAAATGGAAAACATGCCTCTGTTAATTCTATTCTCATGAGTCCAACACAAAAAAATGGAGAAATCTGGTATAGATTTTCAAGCAGGCATTAACCTGTTTAAAGCAAAATACCAGCTGCATTTTATTTACCATGAATCTTTAGAAGCAAGGGAAAAAATACTTATTACTGAAACTTTTTTTCTGTTATTGTATGAAGTTCCCTGATGATTGCATGGAATATTTCTCCTCTACACACTATGGTCTGTAATGTAAAGACTTTAAATCCTTCAACACTATTGTCAATGAGGATGACCTATACCTAATTATACATCCCAATACCTGTGTATATACATCCTATAATATAAATGATACATAGACACTTATCATTAAACTTTTCTTTAAAACTATGGAGTGATTTGTCATATCTTTACTGAATTAAATAGTTTTAAATCATTGAATCATTTGAAAGTTAATTGTGAAATTTGACCATATTAATTTATTTTAAAGTCATATGTTGTTATTTGTCACCTGTTTGGATTTTGCTGTAAGATTAAGAGATATTCTATCAGAGATAACTGTTCACAGTAATGATAGTTGATTGTTATAATGATATATATTTATATATATTTTTCATTATTTATTTCAGAGGACTGTTGCAGAGAATAATTCTGTCAATGGTTCTGATGATGAACATACAGAATTGTTGTCTGCTGCAGATCCGCTACCCGACGATGACTGAACGATAGTACCTGTGATAACCGTGTTGCTAAGTAACCTGGTTTAATGTTGAACATTCCCACTATAGACGATACAATGTTTCTGTGCAATAAACAATGCAGCTGTGCTGATAAAATAATATAAATAATATGAGCCGCGTCACGACAAAACCAACGTAATGCGTTTGCAACCAGCATGGATCCAGACCAGCCTGCGCATCTGTGCAGTCTGATCAGGATCCATGCTGTTCGCTATTAGGTTCTCTATTTGTAATAGGGTTTGTAAGCGAACAGCATGGATCCTGATCAGACTGCGCGGATGCGCAGGCTGGTCTGAATCCATGCTGGTCGCAAACGCATTATGTTGGTTTTGTCGTGACGCAGCTGATATGTATTTATTTATGATATTAGTTATTTTCCTGATGAGGGTAACATGTAGCTTTTGACAGACAAGTTGCTCTTGTAAATCCCATCAGTAGCATGTATAACAAATTTTATATAACCACCGTTGATTTATCCATTAATCTTTTAATATATGAATTAATATATAAACAATGAAACCTATTATCAATTCCCATTCTGTACCTCGGAGGACATTGTTTTTGTGTTCAAGGAAATTCACAAGTTTAATTTTATTGAGATAGATTACTAAATTCTGTTGATAGATAGCATGTTTAAAAAAAAGAACAAAGACTTTTGTAAATAAATGTAGTGTTAGTTTAAATTATATTTTATGTTTGAGAAATGATAAGAATACTTGAGATTCTTGAGAATATGAATTGTTTTTAAATCAATAGCTAATTAAAAGTAAAATCAAGGGTTTGGGGTTCTTTATTTGAAAATTTGTTAATGATAAATACCTATTTTTAGTATATACCTGTATGGTTTTTTTAGTACATTAAAAAAATACATTACAGGACATTTTATTCAATATACATACAATATTCACATGTGTTAAATAGAAACATTTTATATCACAACTTTTTGTAGAATCAGCCATAAAATGATAAAATTATGGTAACAAAATTATTTTACTGTTGATAAACATTAAAGAAAATTTTTAAATATATAGCTTTTTACTTTTAAATAGACCAAATGTTCAAACAGGTTTTCCAACAGAAAACTCTGGTTATTAGATTATTATTACATTGTTATTTCTTTATCATGTTATCACAGAACTTGCCTAAAAATTTTAACAAACTCTTCTGCATTGATTGTGTTGTAAAAGTGTTTAAAGCTGCATGTGGATTTGAAAATAATTGTTTATATGAGTCAAATGATTACAGAATACTTGGAAGGTAAACAAATTTGTTTGTATATTATATTGAAAGGGAGTGGGACATGCATGAAATCATTGCCAAAACTTACTGAAGATAACAATGGAATAATTTGTTTTGGAACATTTTATTCTGTTTACATATAATATTCGTGTATATTAGATTAATTATTATATAAACTTTTTTTATGCTAAAAATCCTTCAAAAAGGATCAAAAGGTTATTAAAATAACATAACTTTAACGTGTGTGTTTTTTTTTATTACAAAATGTTTATAAAATATTTCATCCGATATGCCTTTATACACTTAAACAATCATTTATGTCCTAAAAATAATGTACATTGATTTTGATATGCACATAATTGAATGTTGAATTAAAGTTATAATATTAATTTGTTTTGCATTTTTATTATACAACACTATGTATTTTTCTTATGATGAAAGTTGATATTGAACAAATGTGTAAGAAGGTATTTTACTTACATTTTTCTATACTACTAATTATTTAGTGCCACTGAAACAATGCTGTCTGTTTGTCTATCATATATGTACATTGTATATAGTATATGATAGAGTAATTAAAAGTTAAGTAAAGTCATTAACACAAATAATATCATATCAATGCATTTCTATCAATTTTTATCTGACTATATATCTCTCATAGAATTCATAGGGTCAAGGTTTTGAATTTGTAATAAATAATTTATATTTGCTTTGTTGTCCTGTAAGAAGTATCACTTTCTTAAACTTCAGGCTAACAATACTAGTACATAAATTGAAAAAAATATTTTCAATAGGATCCACCGTGTATATCCATTAATGCAGGAACATGTAATATAACACAGGAATTGCGCAAAAGTAAGGCTGAATCTGTAAATATCTGTGGCTTAAACAAAACACAGGAAGTAAGAAAGTAAACAGACCTAATTATCTCATCATAAATTAATGTGAAAGAAATCATTAAGCACATCAAGCTAAGGTACTATATTTTAACCAGTATAAGAATTATTTACAAGAAGGTCATTACATTTTAAAAATCATTTGTGAGAATGACCACCTGGCTATAATATCTATTGAGGGACGATTTTTGTGTTTTGTTGTGTTAATAAGTAATATACGGCAAAAAAAGGAAGCAGATACAAATTGATTCAGACACTTTTTGTAATGTAACCTGAGTGTTGCCTCGGCGCATCATTCACGAAATTGGCATTACCTTGCCAAAAGCGTCTTATCTTATTTTATTGGCTTATTAGATAAATAGTTGGACAAATGTCTAAGGTATGCTGAATATATAGTAAAAATAGCATCAAACATGTATATGCCTTATTGTATTAATAAATACCTTCAAAACACAACAGTTGCCCACACTAAGTAGTCAGGTTGCCATTCTCATGACATAAAAAATAAACATTGTCCTAATTAGGGTCAAAATATAATGTTTTGCTAGCTGTATACACTGATTAATTTCTTTTAATTAGACTAATTGTAAAATATATATTGGTTTATTTACTTGCAGTAGTGCTTGTTTCAGCCATAGATTTGCACTATTGGAAATGCACATGTTATTTTCACATTCAAGTGTTAAAGCTGCACGCCTCCAGATGAGCCAAAATATTTAAAGACAATCAATTTGGAGAGAAATATACTTACATTTTAAGAAAGGTAAAAACATTCAAGATCCGAGTTTAAGTGTACATGTTATGTGTGATTAAGATTGATTTTGCGGTTTTTATCACCATATTTCTACTGCGTTACTAACGCAGTAAGGGTTGTTTTTGCATATGTTTAACAGTATTTGGTAATTTTCTTGGATTATAAGTGCCGATTGCAATATGTTAATTAGTTTATTTGTTCACCTCAAAATATTTTACTTTTAAATACATTTCTAAAATTTTCATGAAAATTGACATGAATCTGGAGGCGTGCTGCTTTAATTGGATGTACATAGTGTGATACTTTATGGTTCTATTTTTTCCATGACAAAGACTTTTCAATCAACTTCATACATGTATATGACTCAATATGATAATGTATATTATTTTCAAGGGTGCTATATTTTATGTTGTTTTATATTATGTTCCAGTTTTTTTGTTGTTGTTATTAAATTAGTATTATCTGCATGTTTTAGTGTAAGTTAAGTGTCACATTATTCTTAAGTTTTAAATTTATCTGAATATTTTGAAAGGAAAAATAAAGCCTAGTGTTTCTGAAAGTATATTATTAATTTTTTTTTTGCTTCTGACTTAAAAGCATCCATGTAATCATGAATTGATATAACTTATAGTGATATTCACAAAAAATATGTAAAAAATTACTGTGATACTTTGCAGTAGAACATATTTAATTATCTTTTATTGTGCAATTTTTAGAAGTATAATACTCAGTTAGCAATCTGTCGGCATACTAACTTGAAATGTTTATCTTGATATCCCAAAAATTGATCATGGACAGGTCAATTATTACGGTTAAAGAAGTCAATTTTTAATGGTCCCCTGGGCATTTAGTTATTGAACTGTCCAACTGTCTGTCTGTTGTTCATATGGTTCCGGTCTGTTGCATAAGTAGGTCAAAGGGCCAAACATTTCAAAAATCTACTGTCTAAAATACACTGTAAACAGTATACATTGTATAGTAAGAACTTAAAAAACCTTTCTTCAGAAATAACAAAGCTAGATATTTGGCATAAAACTTTGTGTAGTGAACCTCTATCAACAAGTTTGTTCAAATTTTTGCCCTGGGTGTTAAAATTGGCACTGCCCCGGGGTCATAGATTTTCAATAGGTGCATATGATAAAATCTTATAGGAAATTATCCGCTGAAGCTTCAAAGGTTAAAGCTTGAAACATTGTGGACCTGTACAAAGATTGATCAAATTATGGCCCTAGGGAGGGTCAAAATAAGTCATGCACTTGGAGTCACGAGTATTTTTTATACACATAAACAAAAACTAATTTTTTTTCTGAAACAGAAAAAGCTAGAGAATAGATATTTGCTACAAACATTTTCAAGATTGTTAAAATTAAAGTCTTTCGGTCAAAATTGGCTCTGCCCCAGAGGACTCAGGCACCTACTATTTGTCATTTGATATACCAGCCATGAATAGTAAAAAATAAGTAGTTAACTGCAAATACTTAAAATTCCCTATAAAGTAGCAGCAACATATAGGGATAACCTCTCTGTCATTGATTGGTCTGTTCATCACTCACAAAGCTTGTCCTGGCTACTCCTACAAAACTAATGGAGCAATTTCATCCAAACTTTACAGAAATGATCAGTACCAAGTGTAGTTGTGCATATCGCCGGCATTTTCTAGTTTAATGATTTTTGTTAGAGTTATAACCCTTAATTTAATGTTATGAGTGAATTACATGTAGAGAGTTATTGTACAGGTTTCATATTTAAACATAATTATATAATGATATAGCTATTTGACTTTATAGTTACATGTACTTTTACATTGTAGTGATTATATGGCGAAAGGTTGTTTTATTTTTATATATGTATAAATTAAATAATTGACATTAAACCTACTTTTCTCATAACTTCAATTCATTGTTTATACTTCCCAAAAAGATTTAAGTCTGCTCATATTTTTCTTACACCTTTAACTTCTGTGAAACTAAAATAAAAATGTATGTAGAAAATTACAGAACATGAATGACAATCAATGTGTTTTATGCTGATTTTGTCCTATAGCTGAGAGTTTAGAGGAGCAATAATTGAAATAATGTTACCCTTCACATTTAATATGTAAACAATGTCTAATATTTTCCATGGCCGTATGGTCAAGGTTGTTGGCTTTACAACACTTACCTGTTATCAGTCTAGTTTTGATTCCTGCTAAGAAATTTGGATTCTTCCATGTGAGGAAGCTATCCTGGTAGCTCACAAAACGTTGGTGGTTTTACTCGGGTACCTGCTCGTGTCTGAAATAATGCATGAAGGGGCACCCAAGCAGAAAGTTAGGGATGGGGCTGGGGAGGCAATGATTTCCTCAACTTGGAGAAACTGTCAAACTGGAGAAAAGTGTGAAAAGAGGATAGTTCATCTGCACATTAATCAAAGGGCAATATTCAAAATGCACAAAGCTTAGTTCGTCAATGCAGTGTTCCAAGCTGATATCTCTAAAACATTTTGAGCTATAGCCTAGGATAAAAATAAATCAAGAAAAAATCAGGCAATAATGAATAAATAATGGAGGAACTATTTATTGTTCTATTGAAATATTTTCACATACATGCTTAAAGTTGCAAGTTGATATCTCAGATGCTTTTAAATGAGTTATGGTATGTAACTTTTATATAGAATGGATTGACTTTATATTAGAACATGATATTCTTTAGGATAAGACCTTCAAGTATATCAAACTCAATTTGACCTTGATCTTGACAATGAAGGTTAATGAAGATTTTTCACTGATTTTTGCTGAAATTGACTGTAACTTGGTAATTGATAAATGGATTCAACTGAGCTTGACCCTGTGCTTAAAATGACATTGACTGTCAAAGTCAAATTATTGAATTTTGGTTAAGTTGTCATAATTTTGTTATTTATGTATGGATTTGATTCATATGTAAACAAAACAACACTTGTGAGTTTTACCAAACAGACATATGGAGTAATTTACATTTTTAGAAATGCCTTGACCTTTAAATGACATGGACCGTTAAGTGATTGAATTTTGATTATATTTTCTTAACTCTGTCATTTATTTTCACATGATGTATCCTCTGTCATTTATTTTCACATGATGTATGTAAAGGATTCATACTTGCCATGGACAAAACAAGTGTTACTAGACAGACCTATTAAAATTAGAAACGAGAAAGTTGATGTCTTTTCTTTAATTTTCTTTTAAAAGATTTGTTTAAACTGTTTATTTGTTTGCTTTTTGAAAAAGTAAAAAAAAGTTGAGCATTGCCCCTGCATGGCAGTGGCTCTTGTTTAGTTGTGGTCCAGATAAAAATTAAGCAAGAAAAATGATAATTACTTAAAATTATGAAAGGTATTACTCTTTTGTACTGGACTTTTTCTCAAGAAGATCTATCCATATAAATCTGGAGTACCTGCCACACAATTACTTCTAGCTTACAAAACTTTGTAAGACACTTTTTAGCTCACCAGAGCCGAAGGCTCAGGGTGAGCTATTAGTATCAAAGGGGGATACTCCGGCGTCCGTCGTCATGCGTCAACAATCGTCTTCTCCTCTGAAACTACTGGGCAGATTTACTTCAAATTTGGTCTGTAGCATCCTTGTGACAGTCGCACCTGAATTTGCTCATGTCATTTCATTTGGCCCCTTTTAGGAGTCAACAGAGCTAGAAATAGAAAAACCTTTAAACATCTTCTACTACAGAACTAATTGATGGATGATCACCAAACTTTGTCTGTAGCATTATTGTGTAGTCTTTTATCAGGTTTGCTCATATTAATTTGATTGGCCCCTTTTAGGGGTATCTAGAGCTAGAAATAGAAAAACCTTTAAGCGTCTTCTTCTATAGAACTAATTGATTGATGTTCACCAAGCTTTGTCTGTATCATTCTTGGGTAGTCTTATATCAAGTTTGCTCATATTATTGTGATTGGCTCCTTTTACGGGCAGCTAAAGCTAAAAATAGAAATACCTTTAAACGTCTATTTTTACAGAACTAATTGATGGATGATCACCAAACTTTGTCTGTAGCATTGTTAGGTAGTTTTTTTATCAAGTTTGCTCATATTAATTTTATTGGCCCCTTTTAGGGGTCTCTAGGGCTAAAAATAGAAAACCCTTTAAACGTCTTCTTCTACAGAACTAATTGATGGATGATCACCAAACTTTGTCTGTAGCATTCTTGGGTATTCTGATATCAAGTTTGCTCATATTATTGTGATTGGCCCCTTTAAGGGGCAGCTAAAGCTAAAAATAGAAATACCTTTAAACGGCTATTTCTACAGAACTAATTGATGAATGATTACCAAACTTTTTAGCATTCTTAGGTGCGCTTCTATCAAATTTGCTCATATTAATTTGACTGGCCCCTTTTAGGAGCCACTTAAGCCAAAAATAGAAAAACCTTTGAACATCATTTCCAACTGAAATAATTGATAGATGATCACCAAACTTTGTAGCATCATTAGGTAGTCTTTTATCAAGTTTGCTCATATTAATTTGATTGGCTCAAATTAAATATCAGAAAATATTGACAATGGATAAAAGCTATTGTTTCTGGTGAGCGACTCAGGGCCATCATGGCCCTTTGGTTTAACATTTTTCTCTGATGGGGAGTTTAATACGCACCTGTCCTGTCACAGTATAAATGGGTATGCTGAAGACCTTAAGCTACCACACAAATTATGTTTACAATAGAAGCCTAGACGACCAGACATTTTCCGTCTTGATATATCCCAAATGCTTTAAATTTTGGCTCTGACCAAAATAAAAGCGGACACAGATAATAAGCACAAGGTAGTTAAGGATAATCTAGTTACTGTCAATTCACCTAATTTTGTGGGCACGAAATTTCGTGATTTTGTCACAAAGAACATTTTTGTGTGTTCTACGTGATTTTTTTTCAAATAGGTAATATGTACATAATGTGATGTAAACTAATCTTACAGCTGATGAAATGAAATTATGTTGGGACCTATCCATGAAAACCACAAATATTAATTCCCTTTGAATAATAATGATTTTGCACCTTTTTGGCGTGGAATAAAAATGCAAACTAATTCAACATAAATGCCAATCACAATTAAGTGGCTGGTATATCCCCTTGCAAAATATTAAAGTATTGAAATTTAGACTGTTTTATTTTTATGTAAAAATTATGTAAGGTAATAAACTTCTCAATTTTTTTAAGCCTTGTGTGACTAAAAATGGCTAAAAAGATCAAAGGAAAAGTTACATAAGTACCATTTCGTAAATACGTCCGTCCGTCCTCCGGAGCATAACTTAAGTTCCATTTGACCCACAGTGTTAAAACTTCATTAGATGATTGTCCATATTGGGTAGAAGACCCCTATTGATTTTGGGGTCACAAGGTCAAAGGACACTATTACCTTAAAACTGAAACCAGTTTCCGGAGCATAACTTAAGTTCCATTTGGCCCACAGTGTTAAAACTTCATTAGATGATTGTCCATATTGGGTAGAAGACCCCTGTTCATTTGGGGTCACAAGGTCAAAGGACACTATTACCTTAAAACTGAAAACAGTTTCCGGAGCATAACTTAAGTTTCATTTGGCCCACAGTGTTCAAACTTCATAGGATGATTGTCCATATTGGGAAGAAGACCTCTATTGATTTTGGTCACAAGGTCAAAGGTCAAGGTCACTATTACCTTAAAACTGAAACCAGTTTCCGGAGCATAACTTAAGTATAGGATGATTGTCCATATTGGGTAGAAGACCCCTATTCATTTTGGGGTCACAAGGTCAAAGCTCTAGGCCATTATTACCTTAAAATTGAAAACAGTTTCTGGAACATAACTTAAGTTCCATTTGGCCCACAGTGTTCAAACTTAATAGGATGATTGTCCATATTGGGTAGAAAATCCCTTGATTTTGGGGTCACAAGGTCAGAGGACACTTTTACCTTAACACTGAAAACAGTTTCCGGAGGATAATTTAAGTTCAATCTGGTGCACAATATTTTAACTTCATAGGAGGATTGCTATTTGAAGGAGGTAATACCTTTTTTAATCCCTATGTCTTAAAAATGCTTCATTCTTACAAAAAAATCACTTTCGGATATAAAATGCTACGCCTAGCGATGCTCTTGTTCTTCTTTTATGCCCTCGGGCAAATAGTAATTGAATCTAAAATGACCAGTTGGATTTATCTTAAGTTCTACCTATACAAATGGCTTTATACTTTACAAACTTACTTATCAACACAATGTTCTTGATTTTAGCAAGTTACATCAATATGGCTTCCGTTTTTACATGTCATTGCCCTTTTTAGCACTTAGAAAATGAATAATTGGTTAACCTAAAACGGCACGTTGGATATATCTTAAGTTCGATCTGTACTTATAGCTTCATAATTACCATACTTACTTATCAATTCAAAGTACAGGATATTGCCAAGTTTTATAACTTTGCCATCCATTTTCCTCAGTTACTTCCCTTTTTTCATTTTGAAAATAGGGCTTTGTATGGTTAACCTATTCAGGCAAGTTGATTTAACCTTAGATTTCTCCTATTAACATCATTTATTTAATATTATCTTCCATATTTGGTAGGTAAATTTTTTTGGGTCACTTGGGTCAAGGCCATTGTTTTAAATTTTTTTAAACATTTTTGTTTATACAGCCTTTATTTTCAAATTGACGTCTTTCGTAATAATACTAGGATAGGCTAAGGAATGTCTTCTACCTTTTGGTTCAGTAAAGGCTCAGTTGGGTCAAGGTCACCAATGTCAAAAATGTTTTTACCTTTGATATGGCCAGTAATGTGTTGATGTGCCGTAAAAATCCAAACAAACAAAACAAGACTGGTGTAACCTTATTCTATTGACTGATGTTTTTTAAGTTTGGTTGGAACATAAAATTAAAATCTTC